AGACGACTTAGACAAGGGCATAGACGACTTAGACAAGGGCATAGACGACTTAGACAAGGGCATAGACGACTTAGACAAGGGCATAGACGACTTAGACAAGGGCATAGACGAGCGTAGACCTCAGAGACAATAGTTTAGACACGAGACACGACGCGATGAACCAGCGGGGAACAGAACAAAGGCAGGAACTAATATACTACGGGGGTAATGACTAACACAGGGCAGGTGAGGCTGATTAACAAAGACAAGGGAAACAGGACACAGGTGAAACCAATTAACTCAAAGACACTAACAATCAGGGAAACTAAACACTAACCAAGGAAGCATATATCAACACACGGAAGGTACATAGGCAATAACATAAGCAGGGGAACAAGAAACAAAACCAAAACCAATTACAAAGCAAACACCAGGAGCATAAACAGGTGACATTAAGCATAAAGGAAAACACCAGGGAGCTAAATACAAAAACAGAGGAGGCGGGATTCGAATTCACAACAAGAGGGAACTCAGGACCGAGGGGCAAACAGACAGTACATGCTTAATACATTGAGCCACGAGACCAGACAAGTGACGGGGGAGAAACAAGGACTGACGTATGGACGGGATGACCAGCACCACCTGCTGGTCAAACGGGGAAGGGGCACGGAAGGACCACAGCGGGAGGCCGACCCTGACACACAGACAAACAGACACACACATATACACACAGGAAGACACAGAGCTGCGCGTTTCCCAAAAATGCGACTGACTGAACTGCCCTTCAGCTCAACTCTATTCAGTTATTTACGAATCATAAGAGTCTAACAGAAAAAAACATCCCTGCTGAGACCATGATTAAATCTTGTTTACCTGCCTGCTGATCCAAGGTGAAACAGTAATCGAGGTACTTAACTGAAAATTATTCTGTGGCTGCTACAGCACCTTTTTAATGAACTCAGGAAATACCAGCTTCTACCCCATGCTTCTTATATATAGGGGTAAAATATTAAAGATGTATGCATACTATGAAAAAAAGCTATCATGAGTATACATGTTCCAGTCGGGAATGGGCCTGCGCAGTCGGGTGGATGAGGGCTTCCTGCCTGCGCAGGCACCTGTTGTGTCTCTTCACAGTGGGGCATACACGGCAGCCATGTTCCAGTCGGGGATGGGCCTGCGCAGTCGGGTGGATGAGGGCTTCCTGCCTGCGCAGCCACCTGTTGTGTCTCTTCACAGTGGGGCATACGCAGCAGCCATGTTCCAGTCGGGGATGGGCCTGCGCAGTCGGGTGGATGAGGGCCTCCTGCCTGCGCAGTCACCTGTTGTGTCTCTTCACAGTGGGGCATACGCGGCAGCCATGTTCCAGTCGGGGATGGGCCTGCACCTGCAGCTGATGAAGGAGGAAGCAGAGCAGCTGCAACCATGGTGTCGTCGTCCAGCACCCGGCACCTTCGCCTGGACACCCATGTACCCTCAACCCCCTCCCAGCAGGGACCTGGCTGGACAGTGCCGCCCCCCCCGGCGCCCTCAGCCCCAGGCCCCCTGGACGGTAAGGTGTACCTGCTAACCAGGTTCAGGGCCTAAAACATGGTTTGTCAATCTGTGGCATGTGTCAAGTCTCATGTTTTTTTTAACCCATGTTGCCAAAAGCCTTAAGATATAATGCGCCCCCCTCCCAAAAACACCCAGCTGCCCTTGGTCGGTGAAATGTATGAGTTATCGGCTTTGGTCAATCAGGAGACACGACCTTTTTCAATGACTCATTATCATCATCATATTATGCAGTTTTTATCACCATCTCACTGCTTTCAATGCAGCTAGCATGACATGAATACTCTGACTTGGCAAATATTTAAATTGCAAGTTGTGCAGAGACAGCAGCCTATTTTAGAGAAATGCAGCGATAAAACCATAGCCTTTTATTATTAACAATCAGCAACCCCCCCCAGGCACTCTTATCACACTTTGCCCTCCCTGACTCCCAGCCCCCCAGGCCGGCCTGGCACCCACACCTCAATGACCTCGACACATACATCTCTACACAGCCCCGCCCCAGCTGACAAAGGCCTCCGTCTCTCCCACATGGCCCCTGCTGATGGGAGTACAAAGGTGTCCTTCATGTGCCTTCCATGTGTGGTGGCTGGAATCCGCACTCCCCATACGGCCCGATGTGAGATTTACCATAGTGCCCATAGCAGGTGTCTGCCAAAAATTCCAGCCCCATTTAAAACATACCGCTGCATAGTGGCACTTAATCCTATCGGCTTAATTGAATGAGAGCTGCAGTACTGCTCAGCCGGACCAAGCTCAATGCCTTATAGGACTCCAGACAAAGACACAGTGTGTGCAGGACATCAGCTTCTGGAAGCGTTCCTTTATTCTTTGCTGAAAGTTCCTGCAAATGATGATGTCTGTTGAGGGGACAAGGTCTTCCTGAAAGCTACTGGAAAAGAGTGTGGGGTGATTCGAGGGCACTGCTGGCATGTTTCTGCTTCTTGTGTTCTTGATCGCTGTGATAGAAGCACTATACAGCAGGCCATTTAAAGGACTGACCTGCCTTTCTGTGACTATATCATTACACGCTCTATAGGGTGTGATAGACTTATGGGTTACAGTTTGGCTTGACTGGACCTAACAATTGTGTGAGGCTCTTCTTCATGACCTACTGCCCCAGCATGCAGTGAGAAAAGCTCACCTACAAAGGGCTTTTGTATGCCTAAATGAAGTTTAACGTCATTAGTGCCCACAATATTAGCAGCTCAGCCAGCCTAATTATCCATTGCTAACTGGAGATGAGCCATATAACCTTTAATTAGACCTGAGATCTCACTTGCTAGGCTGCCGTACCTTTTCATTAGACATCTTAATCCTGAATTTTCACATTGACATCCTGACTAATTTTAGAGGGCCCTGGGCATATGTAGGAATATCGTAAACACTCAATGACAAAAAGGTGACATAAAAAATTAGACTGAATTAAAAAATGGAAATTTGTGGGGAATCTGCAGGTGGTTGATCTGTGCTCAGCAGATCAAGGAATTTTAACTGTTAGGTTTACCCTTTGCGGGACATGTAGCCGGGAAGAGAACACAGCCTGAAATGGTCTCTGAGTGTAACATGCTTTCTAGAGGGAAACTTTCAAAGATGGAGCTCACAGTCTGTATCGGAGCAGCTGTGGCGACCTTCTTGCAGACAGCAGTCATCTCTGTATAAAAACGTGTCTGGTAATGACAAATTCCGGGAATAACTGGAATGAGGGCAGGTAGAATGTCACAGGGCTCACTGCTAACACTCACAAGTTCATTCTGGGATCAACCACATACTCTTGGCAGGATATGAGCAAGATATCACCCATTTTCAGCGACTATTCAAGAGCTGTATGTTGTTGAACAGAAAAGCATTTTAAATTGAGTAATAATACTGTGGGATCACTCATAGCAAGTGAAGAAAATCATACTGCAGATTTAAATTAAATAGTTTAAAACATTGCATTGTTTTCTGTGGTACTGAACAGTGCATTATGGCATTCAGCAGTCATTCAGTGTAGCTGGGGTTGCCTCTGGGACATTCTCTGTAATAACTCTTTCATTAGCTAAAGACATTTAGACTGATTAATGATCAGAAGGTGAAGTAATTCCATTCCAATAATTTAATTCTTTTCACCTTAATGTGCACCAAACCTGCTGCTGCTCATATTAAAATAAATCGGTTCCCTTTATAAAAAGAAGGCTTTCTTCCTCTGGGGGAACAGTCAGGCTCAGAGGATCTACAGAATGATATTTTTTTTGTCTTGCCTAAACTGGCATTTCTCGTCTATTACGGGGGGAGAATCTGCCTGAAGCTGAATAGCATCATAAGTAGCATTGTCAAAAATCAGGTAGTATTAGCAAAACTGTTGCTGTGAATGAGCTAGCATTAAGCTATCAGTAGCATTGCTGTGATTCAGCTAGCATTACGCTATCAGTAGCACTACTGTGAATTAGCTAGCATTAGGCTATCAGTAGCACTACTGTGAATAAGCTAGCATTATCAGTACTGTTGCTGTGAATCAACTAGCATTAGGCTATCAGTAGCACTATTGTGAATGCGCTAGCATTATCAGTACTGTTGCCCTGAATCAGTTAGCATTAGGAAGGCTCTCATGCATTATCCCCTAAGACAGGGGTGTCAAACTCCAGTCCTGGAGGGCCGCAGCCCTGTGTAGCTTAGTTCTTTCCCTGTTCCATCACAAACGATTCAGCTCAACCGCTGTGTGGTAATTAGCACAAGAAGTTGAATCAGGTGTGTTAAACGAGGGGAAACCCAAAAATGTGTAGGGCTCCGGCCCTCCAGGACTGGACTCTGACACCTGTGCCCTAAGAGATGCTCTTGATGAAACTTGAGAGCTCTGGCATTAGACTATCAGTAGAATTGCTGTAAATCAGGTAGCATTAAGCTACCAGTAGCGTTACTGTGAATTGGCTAGCATGATCAGTAGAGTGGCTGTGGTCATTTGGAGTTGAAGCTTAGTGCCCCCTGGTGAGCTCAGTATTTAGTGCGTTGCTTTCGTTGGATTTGGAGTCCAAGCTAACCATCTTGTGATGTTAGAGAGTTGCAGTAAATCAACCTTCCCCAAAATTGTGTCTGGATCATCTCAGGCACTTCTGGTGGGGTGGGAGGAGTACAGCCCTGATGGGGGATTTGGTCAGATGATGCAGGAAGGAATTTGGTGCTGGATGGGGTTTCGAGAAGGTGCTAAGCTGATAATCTCAGCTGGGCCCAGCCCTGGAGCCATAGCCCTACTGTGGACACAGTACCTACTCTCAGGTAAAGACAAACCACAAAACTTCTTCCAAAATCCCGTCCCCCCCAGCCAACCCCTCATCTCATCGTGGGTAGTGATGAAAGCACTGCAGCAATACGTGGGTAATAAAATGAGGAAGGAGAGAAGAATGCTAAATTTCTGAAGCATCTGGCCTGGAACAAGGCGCCTGCCGGCTGTCATCACCAAGGGAATTCCTGAGAATCCTGGGGACCTGGGACCTCCGTGCGGAACAATTAATGCACGTGACATGATGGAATCAGGGCAGATAGGTGAGGGGGTGACTCCTGGCAGGTACTAGTGAGGGGAACATCAAACAGGGGTAGTAATTGGACCTGGTGCCTTAATTCCTCGCACTATTCCGTTTGACCCATTGACTCAAAATAATTGGCCCAAGTTCATTATGCTAGCTGGAGCAGAGTGGTAGTGACTCTCGAATGTCTGTGTGTATGTCAGCTCAATGTCAGCTGCTTGGGAAAGATTGGATGGACTAGACAGGCCTTTACTTCAGTTCTGGATTGTTGCAGGTTTGAGATGGGAATGTTCACAGCTCTCTGAGGACCATGGCAGCCAGGAAGCTTCTGTGACCAGATTGCCTTTGCTGATTTACATTTTTTTCTGAAAGAATATAAAATGAGATCTGAAAATGGAACCCACAACCTACAGCACTGGAAGACAGATGGATGATGGATGGAAACAGGCACTGAACAGCTGCTTTATGCTTGGAACAAATGCTGTGAAGCTCGATGAACCGGTCGACACTACTGAACAATGAAGATCCGTATTCATATTATTTTTACTGGCAGCCCATTCAGGGTGTCTCCCCAACCTGTGTCCTACGCCATCCTGGACAGGCTCCTGCCCCCCTGCTTACCCTGTTCAAGATAAGCAGTAGGAAGATGGATTTATATTATTTTAAAGAATTAATCAACATAACATTGGAGTTTTAAAAATACCCACCCATCCATCCATTCATTAGTTATTATTATTATTTCATGGTTTTATGAGAAATTGTATATGCACCTAATTTGTGGATTCATCTGTTCATCACAACAGAAGAGGCACCAAGAGATGGACATTTATATCTTCTGGACAGGGCAGATCAACCCTGAATCAAAGATAAAGAATGTAGCTTCTATTTTGGTTTTAAACTACCCTCAATCTGTCCAAAAATGTGTAATAATGCATGTTCTATTAACAAACACTGAACCCTTTTCACTGTGCCTTCCTGATGCCCATTTAGATAAAGAACACATTTCACAACACATGCCGCCTGATTACAGATCACCAAATGTACATGTATGAATTCTGGAAGCTGCAGCTGAAGGCTCACACTGAACCCGACGTGTCAACGAACTCAAAAATCAGCCTTCATTTGTGAAATTCTATTTCACCGGCACAGCCTTGGAAAACAGTAATCGGTTTAATGTACTATGGAGCACGTCAAAAAACCTCAATCTAAAGATTTTGAGCATTTTAATGTTTTCTTTCTTCATTTCCCTCTGAAGATTAGTCATGGCGTGTTGAGTGACTAATGCCCCGAAACGACTTTAAGTTGGATGTGAAAGCTGACCTGCTCTTGTGGAGACAGACAGCTATCTTTCTTCACGTGTGCGGATATTCCACTGGATGCCTCAAGGTCACGCTGCTGTTTGTTAGAAAAGGTTCACATCTTACGAATGGCATTGAAATGCACCTCGTAGATAACAAGCAGGTTGATGTTTTTGATCATCGGAGGCCAGGCATCT